GCTGGTATTGAACAATGATCCTTCTATCTTTACCTCCTAAGTAGCTAGGATTATGAGATAGAGTCACCTTGCCTGGCTACTCATAGGCATTTCTATTTGCAGAAAAGGATGGCTAATGCATAAACCATGGTAGGGACCATAAAGTCCTCCTGGTGTTCACAGGGAACATAAAGCATGGGAGTGATGGCTACAAAGGAAATGCTCTCCCAAGAGAGTTCACGGCAGTGATATGGAGAGATGAGATGGGGCCTGTGACCACAGGATATGTAGACTAGACTACATGTGGGCCCTGATTAGAATGTCCCAGGGGTGAGTTGGTGCTGAGGCTAGACTTCTTCCAGGAAGTCTTTGGACCTGAACAGAGTAGAGGCTCAAGTGCAGACGGACATCCAATCCCCAGCTTGGGCCTGCTCCAGTAAGGCCTCACATTCTGGGACCTAGTGGCCCTGTTTGCCCTTGTCTCCTGCCATCTGCTAGGGGCTTTTGACTCCACCTCCTCTAGGCTTGGCCTCTGGCTCCTGCTTTTATGTTACCACATAGGGCAGGTCCTAAAGCCTATACAGAAAATGTTTCATTCCCCAATGCAACGAGTTCTTTCTCTAATAACTATACCACTACCAATAATGAAAAGGAAAAAGCATTAGAAATGCCTTGGAGAATGTACTTGTCCTCTGTGCTAGATACTTCTCTTTTTCATCTTAATTTCTACATCAACGTTAAAAGATGAGTAGTACACTATTATTGTAGTGGGACTCAATCTAAGGGGAAGGTGGTTTGCCTAAGGTAATTCAACTAGTAAGTGACAAGTCTAAATTTAAACCCAAGTCTGCATGACTCCACAGCTTAAGCTCTCTCTCTCTTTTTGTTGGTTGGGGGTCTTGAACTCTAGGCCTGGGCACTGTCCCTGAGTTCTTCAGCTCAAGGCTAGCGTTCAACCACTTGAGTCACAGTGCCACTTCTGGCCTTTTCTGTTTATGTGGTGCTGAGGAATTGAACCCAGGGCCTCATGCATGAGAGGCAAGCACTCTACTATGCTGAGCCACCTTTCAAGCCGTTTCTTCTTTTTTTAAAAAAAATATTTAGCCAGGTGCTAGGGGTTCATGCCTGTAATCCTAGTTACTCAAAAGGCTGAGATCTGAGGATCATGGTTCAAAGCAAGCCCAGGCAGGAAAGTCCATGAGACTCATCTCCATAAACTACTCAGAAAAAGATGAAAGTGGTGCTTTGACTCAAGAGGTAGAGTGCTAGCCTTGAGCACAGAGAGGCTCAGAGATAGCATCCAGGCCCTGAGTTCAAGCCCTAGGATTGGCAAAAACAAACAAGCAAGCAAACAAAACAAAAAAAACCCCTTATTTATTCTTTAAAAATTTGAGATAGGGGTTGGGAAGGTACCTCAGTGGTAGAGCGCTTGCCTTGCATGCATGAGTCCCTGGGTTCACTTCCTCAGTACCACATAAGCAGAAAAAGCCAGCAGTGGCACTATGGCTCAAGTGGTAGAGTGTTAGCCTTGAGCTGAAGAGCTGAGGGACAGCACCCAGGCCCAGAGTTCAGGCCCCACTACTGACAAAAAAATTTTTATTATTTTTTTAGATAGAATCTTGCTTTATAGCCCTGGCTTGCCTTGAACTCACAATCTTCCTGTCTCTGCCTCCTAAAAACTAGGATTATAAGTATGAACTATTGTACCTGACTTGATTTCCCCTCTTAAATAATGTAATTGTTCCCAAATTCAGAAACTTCATCCCCCGAGTATGAATGTGAGGCCCTGATTGGCCTCTGTGATCCTGCCCTTCTTTTTTCCCTAGACCTTCCAGGAGCTAGAAGCTCGAGCTTGTGTTGACTGTACATGGGCCAACCCCAGCCCTTACCTTTCCCTGGCCCCTGCAGGGCAGGACCACAGCCACACTAACCTAGCCCACAGAGGACTGCTCAGCAGAAGCCAGCTTTCAAGTTTCAGTGTGAGGATGCCTGGTGATCAGGCATTCTGGGGCATAGCAGGAGATGCTGACAGAGACAGGAGGCTGTGGCCTGAGTAACTGGATTAGAGCTCTTTCTTTCACATGTTCTGTCCTCTCCAGGCCCAAGAACCCTTCCTCTGTATAGTGGATAGGCATCCATGGCTTTCATCTACACCCAGAAGGAAGATGTAAAGGCTGCAGCAGCTGGGAAATTTGACAGCACACATTGACATATCGCTGGCATTGTATCCTGTTCTGTCCACACAATATTACCAATAATGTCTTCAAGGGAGCATAGCCTCTCTGGGCCTCTGTGCATATTGTTCTTTTGCTTGTAACACCCACATGACTCAGTCCTAATACTTTCTTCAGGCTCAGGTTAGCAGTCCTCTCCAGGAGGATTTCTCCTGTCCTTCTCAGCCTGCCCCCAGGAGAGACTATAGGTCAGAAGCAGTGATGAATTTGAGAATTTCCAGGGACCAGGGTAATACCAGTACCTCACTAATGACAGACGAGCAAGGAATTGAGTAGATGGGGTCAGCTACAGACCTGCATCTGAGAAGTTTCATGGCGACTGAGGACCCTCCTACTAGGGACTTACATATGGCCACTCTTCCTCCCCCATGTCCCTGTTCCTCTTCCTCCTGGCCTCACTTCCCTACTTGCTCATACACTGGTGCTCTGGAGAACATGGACTGCTGGGACTTCTTCATCTGCTTGCTGGCTTAGTGAAGGGTCCTGGGACCAGGAAGATAAATGGTCTTTTGGTAACCTGTACGGAGTTATCTGTGTTCAGTGAATCAGGGAACCAAATAGTTGTAACTGGTGAAGAACAGAGCTCCCACTTGGATAAGCAAATATAGCCAGTCCTCTTCAGGGTGTTTCATTTCCTGTGCCACATCTCCTCTTTTCCCAAAACTCACCAGGATTCCTGGCTACCAGGAAAGCATATGTTATAGGGTATTGTTCACATAGCAAGCAGCTGTGACTGAAGGCTAATACCTGTGTCTGCCCTGCTCATCCAGGCCTTGGCTCCAGGACAGAGCTGCCTTCTGCCAGAATTCTACAGGTAAGATTCCAGACAGGTGTAGAGCTGGCCAGCAGCCAGAGGCAGGACAAGTCTGTGTCTGGGCCCTGTGACGGAACCAGACAGGAGGGGCCTGGAAAGTCAACTTGGCTCACATCCACTTGGGCCTCAAAGGCCAAGGTTGGGCCAACAGATTTCCTGGTGTAGCAAGGTCCTGCTGTTTGCTTTCTCTGACTCTAGATGGCTTGCTTCCTCCTTTTCTTCTTTCTTGCTTTCTTTCTCCATTGGATGAACTATAAGTATTTTGACTTCACTTGACTGACCCTGGTTCTTCTTGAAGGAACAAGTAACAGTACTTACCTGGCTGGCCCTGACTCACCTCTGGCCTGCCCTCTTTGTTTGGACTGCCTGGATTTTGCCAGTCTGCCTAGAAGGAAGCAGGGTCTGGTATTCAAGCCATTCCAAACAGTAATGGGGTAGTGAGGGAGAAAAATCCAATGGGATCAGTGCTCTGTCCTCTATTATCTCTTGCCCAAGGGAGGCTTGGGGCTTTAACAGGTATCCATGGGTACAAGGGTGTGTGGGTAGAAGGATAGAGGGTCCAGGTAAGAAAGCAGCCTCCAGAGCCCCTGGGGTTGACCAAGGCAGACCCAATGTCCTCCCATATCTCTTCAAAGTACCTACCTGGAGCCAAAATTCAATTGCGCTCAAGGCAAACAAAAGAGTGGGGACATTGGTGTGTCAGGTTCTAGGGTTCTGAGAACAGAGGAGTGCTCTCTTAGTCCCATTTTCTCTGGTGTGGACAGTAGATCACCTCAGGTTGGCTAATGCTACCTGACCACCTTGCTGCTTGGCCCTTTCCTTCTCTCTGGAGAGCTGGGCTGAACCCAGCACAATTCAGCTGCCTCATTTAGCGTAGTTCTAAGGTGGGCTCCCTTCCCATTATCCTACCTACATGAATTTCTAGCTATTTTCTGTTTTGCTTGTTAGCTATATGACACTGCCTGTACTTAGCCTTGCTTTGGGAAAGATCTGTGGACTTAAATCAAATTGTATGGAGACCCTCACAGGCAGGTTAAGTTGTTCTGACTCTCAACTTGTCTCTAAATCTCCAGAAAGAACAACCAGCTTCTTACTGCATGCAGAGGGCCATCTGTCATCAATCTCTGGTTAGATGCTTGAGTACTGCAAAAATAAATGGTCTGAGCTCATTCCACAGCAACCCTCCCTGGGGAGGGGGTTGGTCCACAGCTGGAGGGGAGGAGATGGAGGATGGACCCAGACAAGTTGGCAGAAGTCCCTGTAGGCCCCAAGCTATGGAAATCTCAGGAGATGACCCAGTGGGTAGTCAACTAATAAGCAGTCTGACCCTATTCTGCTACATACATATGCTCCCTAAAGAAATGGTCCCAGGTGCTTGCTTGCCTGCCTAAAACAGTAAATGCAGAATCTGATTATACCTGAAGAGCAGAATCAGACCTAATGGTGGTCAGTGGTAAAAGTACAAAGCAGACAGAGGCTCAGACATAAGTTTGGGAGTTGGCACCCTCAAGTTGGGGGGTCTGTGGTTCTTACAGAACGGCCTCAGGGCCCCAATAAGTCCTTACTCCCCTGGCTCAGACCAGAGTAAGAGACCTACTTCATAGGTGGTGGGTACATGGAAGGAGAGTGTGAATACTGGGAGAATACTGAAACTGGCCTTTCCTTCCCTGGAGCTCTCAGGTCACTGAAGAGCCCTGGGACTCCTGTGGTCTGGCTAGAGAAGCCTGAGCACAAGCCTGCCTTTGGGGCATCTAGAGGTAGATAGCAGACAACAGACATGAAGCTCATGAAGCCTGGCCTGGGACCCTGGCATCTTCTTGTTGCTCTACTTGAGTCTTTCAGTTTTGGGTCATTAATGCTTCTTTTGAAGGTTCCTACTTTTTCTTTGTGGGGTCCATGAGATCTGCCTTGGTAGCTGGGGAGTTGGCAGCAAGGCCCCAGGGCAAGAAGGTGATGATGCCAAGGGAGCTCACCACTCTCTCCTTGTAGACGATGTACTTCAGCCACTTGAAGTCTTGCCACTTGAAGCCAGCGAGGACAAAGAGAGAATCACGCTCATATTGCTCAGGCCTCTGCATGGCGCCCTCAGGATATGTGATGCGCAGGGTTGTTTTGCTGCCCACGTCCTTCTCAAAGCCCTTCACTGGTGCAGAGTTCAGTCTACAGAGAGCAGGCCCAGTCAAAGCTTGCCTTGCATCTGTGTTCAGGGAGGCACCACAACCCCAAAATACCCCAAGTGCAGAGAATGGGAGTCTAGGTCACCTAGTTTTCCATTTCAAAAACCTCCAACCCAGTCTTCTTGAGGCTTCTGTTGACTTCCAGCCTAGGTGGCCAGATGAACAGACAGTTTCTCAATAGGCTTGTAGCTCCTGGTTTTGGGGCAGGACATGCAGGTGCCTAAGGTGTTATTTTGGGAAGCTCACCTGACCACAATGTCATAGTCATCAATTCGTGACCCCAGAGACTTGTTGGCAAGGACACCTCCATTGCCCACGATGATGCAGCGGCGGCAGCGGAGGCTGCGAGGACAGAGAATAAAGGCCTGTGGATAGCTGACCACCAGGCTTCTTTCCCTTTGTCCCTTGACCCCACGTGCTTGGTCAGGACCAAGGATCCCAGCAACATTTCTAAAGGAGGTCAGAGCCATACTAAGGGAAGCTGGGTTCTGCGGTTCTGACATCCCTACCCTGTGACACTCCCTCCCTCAGGAAAATGTGGGTCTGGAATGGCCCAGGAATCAAGCTGGGAAATGAGGACAAGGCTCCTGTGAGATGGTATCCTAAGGTAAAGGTTCCCCAAGTGTCAGTCGGGGGACAGGGACAGGCTTGAGGCTCTGCCAGGAAAGCAAGAACAGATGAAGAGGACTGGAGACTCAGCTTTTCACTTCAGATGCCCCTTGGCTCCCTAGCAGCCACTAAAGGGGCTGTTCCTTTTGCTTTTCCCACCTGACCCTAGGTCTTTCCCTCTCTAGAGCTGGCTTAAGAGCTGTTACTATCTCCTAGACCAAAGCCTACCATGTAGATCCTCAGTCCCATTGCTGGGCTGAACTGAATTCCAGTCTATAGTTCTTATCCTCAAACTTCTAATATCTGAGGATCAGGATGTCTTGCTAAGGCTGGGAAGGTGGCTCAGTGGTAGAATGCTTGCCTTGCATGCACCAGGCCCTGGGTTCAATTCCTCACCACCACATAAGCAGAAAAAGCTGGAAGTGGAGCTGTGGCTCAAGTGGTAGAGCACTAGCCTTGAGCTGAGGAACTCAGGGACAGCGCCCAGGCCCAGAGTTCAGGCCCATGACTAACAAAAAAAAAAAAAAACTCTTGCTAATTGCTTATAGCCTTTGGGCTGCCAATCCTGGGAAGTGGTTTCACTTATCTGCTCTTCCTCCCCACGGTGTGTACTGTATATACATATGCAGATATGTTGGAGAACCTGACCAAGTATAGGGAAAACCACCTGGGTTTTAATATTGTTGCACATACCAGGAAGCTAGGGGCACAGAGGTTAGCAGTGGCTCACCTGTCCAAGGCAGGAGTCAGGCGGTACTCTTTGGTGACTGACAGGATGGCTTTGATGAGATTGTCTGTGGACAGAGGAAGGAGGTAACTGTTAGAGGATCATTTAAGTTATGACAATTTTACTTAGAGAACAGCACAAGTCCTGGGCAGAGGGGAGGTGGAATTGGGTGGAACTCCAAACACAAGTCTGGCCAGGCACTGGCTCTCTGATGTAATTGTAGCTACTTAAAAAGCTGAGATCTGAGGATGTCCCTTCAAGCCAGCCCATGAAGAAAAGTCCACAGACTCTACCTCCAATTAATTAGCAAAAATAAATAAATAAATAAGTGAATAAATAAATAAACATTAAAAACTGCTGAACTGTTAGTGTAGCTCAAATGGTAAAGTAGCAGACATTAGTGAAAAAATTGAGCAAGAACGCAAAACAGCCAGGCGCTGGTGGCTCACGCATGTAATCCTAGTTACTCAGGAGGCTGAGATCTAAGGATCACCATTCAAAGCCAGCCCGGGCAGGAAAGTCTGTGAGACTCTTATCTCAAATAAACTACTAGACAACCAGAAGTAGCACTATGGCTCAAGAGGTAAAGTACTCACCTTGAGCTGAAGAGCACAGGGACAATGCCTAGGCCCAGAGTTAAAGCCCCAAAACAGACAAACAAAACAAAAACCAAACAACCAAACTAAAAGACCCACAGCTGGGCCAGGTCATTGCCCTAACTTTTTCCCTAACACAGGAGATGGAGGCAGAGAAAAAGACAAGCATACTTCTGTTGGGAGCCAGGTTTTAACAATGACACCCAGTTATCCTGGAATGGTGAATGAGTGCATGAGAAAAATGAGAAAACAGGTGGATCTTTTCAGAAACTGAATGAGAACAAGACAAGGACCCAACCTGTAAGAAATACTCAGTACTAGATGCCTCCAGATATGTCTTACAGGTTTTACGGAAGGACACAGATGCTCTCCTTTATCTATGTCCATTTGCCTTTTAAGATAGAGCATTTAGCCGGGCGTCTGTGGCTCACACCTGTAATCCTAGCTACTCAGGAGGCTGAGATCTGAGGATCCCAGTTCGAAGCCAACCTGGGCAGGAAAGTCAGAGAGACATCTCTAGTAAACCACTCAGAAAGCTGGAAGTGGCGCTGTGGCTCAAGTGGTAGAGTGCTTGCCTTGAACTGAAGAGCTGAGGGACAGTGCCCAAGCCTCACCACTGACCAAAAAAAAAAAAAAGAGAGCATTTACTATTAATTGGCCAAGATCAAGGATATGGGTAGGGCTTTTTTTTTTTCCCCAGGAAAAGCCCTTGACTCCTTCTAAAAAGGACATACAGGAATAGTTGTTCTCATCTCTAGTGGTCTCTGTATTAGACTTTCCTAGACTTTGTAGCTGTGCAGTTGGAGTCTTTTTTTTTTTTTGCCAGTCCTGAGGCTTGAACTCATGGCCTGGGCACTGTCTCTGAGCTTCTTTTGCTCCAGGCTAGCACTCTACCACTTGTGTCACAATACCACTTCCAGCTTTTTCTATTTATGTGGGATGAGGAATCAAGCCCAGGGCTTTATGCATGCTAGGCAAGCACTCTACCACTAAGCCACATTCTCAGTCTGCAGTTGGAGTCTTGCATGGGGGTTCAGGAGAAAAGAGTAGGTTGGTTGGCTACATGTATTCCAGGAAGTCCTTCATATGGCATGACCCAACTCATCAGATGTCTCTTTTGGAGGTTTGAAGTCAAAGCCTATGCTCAACATCTTTCTTGCTGTCCTTCCAGAGAAGGGTAGGCTGGCAGAATGAAGCACTTAAATATTCTTAGTTTCCTAGCCAAATGGTTATCTATCATGCCTTTAATAGTTAATTCTGACCACAACTTACACAGTAGCACTATTTCTACACTTAGGTGATAAAGAAACTAAAGCAAAGACAGGTTAAACAACTTGTATAAGATCAGTTAGTAATAAGATAGTAAGGGGATCTAATCTTCTCTCTGACCTTTAAGCCTCAGCTCCAGGTCAGGAACTAGACATAGAAACAGAACTGTTACAGTAAGGGCTGAAAAAGTCTTAAGAGGGAAGAACTCCCTAAGGGCAGAGGGAAGTGTCTGTATGTCCCGGTTAGCAGTGGACGTGATAAAAATTAGAACTGGGCACCAATGGCTCACACCTATAATCATAGCCACTCAGGAGGCTGAGAGCTGAGGATCCGGTTCAAATCCAGCTCAGGTAGGAAGTCTGTGAGACTTATCTCCAATTAACCAACCACAAATCTGGAAATGTGGGGGGAGGGAAGGGATAGTGGGAGAACAAGGGAAGGGGTAACAATGCTCTTCAAGAAATGTACTCATTGCCTTACGCATGTAACTGTAACCCCTTTCTGAACAGCATCTTTACAATAAAGTAAAATTTAAAAAAATCTGGAAATGGAGCTGTGGCTCAAGTGGTAGAGTGCTAGCCTTGAGCAGAAAAAGCTAAGGGACAATGTGAAGACTCTGAGTTGAAGCTCCAGGACCAGGAGGGTATTAGAGGAGAGGCTAGGTTAGGAGGTTAGGTTAGGATAAAAGGGATCAGGTAGGGATGATAGAAGAGTATTTCTGAAGGGTAGCCTTTGCCTCTGTTGACTCTGGAAACATTCTTTCTACCTAGTACCTTTTGCACCTCTCTTTTGTGACTATGGCTCCCTCTACTCCCTCCTAGAATCCTGAGTGTCTGCTCTCTCATTAGATTGGAGATTTTCTGAGAAGTGTCTATGTCACTGCTGTGGACCCAGTCCTGGCAAGTGATGGACTCTGGGTCAATAGTTCATTAATCAAGACAAAAGAGAGTGGGGAAGAGAAAGAGTAGGTGGGTGTCAAAAGTCTCCAGAATTAGGACTTCTTAAGATATAGTCCAGTTCTGAAATTTAGGAACATAATTTGGGGAATGAGATATTAAGGTGGGTCATAGTTCACAACATACCTTGACCTTTGATCCCAAAAGGTGGCACAAACTCCCGGATCCTAGCCCACTTTCGAAAGGAGTCATCTAGGAACATGGGTGCTGGCTTCGAGAACCTGGAATACAACAACACAATAGGCTGGGTACTGGATGGCTTTTCTGTGCATTGTCTGTGGAAGCCACCCTCCACATTCCAGCACATTCTTAGTACCCCAGCCTGGCTGTTCATGGAGTAGCTGCTGATCTTGTTGACTGGAACTTGAGTCTAAGGGAGCAGGCCTGGCCAGGCTTTATTTGGCCATCAGTAAAGAGCAAAGGGGCAAGGATATTAATGTCTCAGAGCTGGAAGCTCTCTGGAAGCTTATCCATGCATCCATCTGCAGTCACTGCTACCCACTCTGTTCCTGTCATCTGGGAACACAGGGATTCATACTGTCCAGTGAAACAAAACCATCCAAAAATATAGCCAGTGTAGTAAGACAGCATTTTGGAGAGGATTCTGGAGTGGACCACCCAGGGTGAGGAAGGGATGAATTCATGCTGAGATGGCAAAGCAGGGCAAAGCTACAGAAGTCTGGTAGAGAAGAAGTAAAAGCTAGTCTTAGGATGCAGGATTGAGGGGAGCGATCAGACCAGCAATAACCATGTTGCATTTGTTGGTAGAAAAAGGGAAGAGAGGCCTTAAGTTCCTGTAGTGGTGGGGGAAGATCTGAAAAAGTTCAAGGGGGAAGGGTTCCTTTTGGCCTGGAGGAGAGATGGGAAGGAAAGAGGAGAGAGAAGGGTGAAGTGATGGTGAGTGGGGAGTAAGGAAAAACAAGTGTCACTGTTCTTGGACAGGGTAGGCTGCAGGTTTGGGGAAGACAGGATACTTGAGAGGGATACAAGAAAAAGTAAGGCAGTAGGCAAAGGTACAGGAGGTCTCAAATCTTTTCAAAAATGCTCCAGGAACACAAGTTTACAGAGAACATGGTATCCTTTCTATGGCACTAGAAGCATAGAAGATGGCCAGTTTGAGTCACTTTCTATGTGCTAGGAGGCCTGCACATCTCACTCATGGTACACCAATTTCTTTGTCTCCCTCAGTCCCACTGCATGACAGCTCTTTAGGGTATGAGGGTCTAGCCAGGGTCTGTGGCTGTAGGAAGCACCAACGATTCTAGCTGCCTTGCACCCCTCTTATCCTCAAGGTCCCTTTGACTTTGCAGCCAGAGCATCCAGAGGCTGAAGGTCTTTCTGGCAAAGAATGACTGTGTGGCTAGGTGCTGATGGCTCATGCCTGTAATCCCAGCTACTCAGGAGGCTGAGATTTGAGGATCATGGTTCAAAGCCAGCCTGGGCAGGAAAGTCCATGAGACTCTTGTCTCCAGTGAGCCTCCAGAAAACCAGAAGTGGCACTGTGGCTCAAGTGGTAGAGTGCTAGCCTTGAGCTGAAGAGCTCAGGGACAGTACCCAGGCCCAGAATTCAAGCTCCATGACTGATCAAAAAAAAAAAAAAAAAAAAAAAAAGACTGTGTGGAAACTTAGTCCTCAGGGGCTCTTTCTGTTTCAAACCCAATCTAATTCAGTCCACTGAATAGCAGGAGGCTACAAGAAAGAAGCTTCTGGGTCCAGGCCCAGCAGCTAGAATTTACCACTCCAAACATGATATAACCACAAACCATATAGTATAAGCCATTTCTTATCTCTATCACCAGAAATCCATTATGCTATCCCAGGAGAAATAAAATCAGAAATCATTCAGAGATCTTGTATATTAGAGACTCTGCCAGGCTCCCTCCCCTATCACATTTTGGCTAGGAAGATGCCAACACTCAGCCCTGAGGCCACTCCTCCTGCACAAAGGCTTTCCTTTAGAATAAGGGATCCCACCAACTGAGTTGCTGCTGTTCTCTGGTACACGAGGACAAGGCCTATTTCTTAGGCCTTGAATTAATATGCCTGAGGCTTTTCCAGACACACTGAGGATCTTGGCCAAGGTTTATGAGTGACATCAAAGGGAACAGGTCTTTGGACATATTCCTGAATTAAAACTACTCTTCTGTGTTAGGACTGAACTTAGAAAATTTATGTAAAGTTTCTGAGTCAGGATTTTATCTGCTTCTCAATATGTACTGGATGTTATATGCTAATAAAAGCTCTTCAGATCTTGCCAAACAATCTTAACATGTCTTTTTTCCCCTTTTCTTTTCTCATCTCCCCTTTTCCAGATTATTAAAAAGTTCATTATATTAAATGGTTCTTTTAAAAACATTTTGTAATCTGTACTATGTTAATTTTGGAAAAATGCAGGCAAATATGTACATATAAACAACCAGAATCCTACAACACAGAGATAATTATCCTTTTCACATCTATCCAAACTGACATCTTTCCTTTTCCTATATTATTTTCTAGACTGCTTTACAGAATGACTTTCTCTTAATATACAGAGACTAGGTTCAACAGCAAAAACTGGAAACTACTGGTAATGTGTTATGAATCATCCCTCCAAAAAAATGTAAAAGAAGAGACAAATGTAATTATAACCAAAAGGAGCAGGAGTTGCCATATTAGTAATGGTTTAGAACAGTTCACAGGACAGATCATGGCAGAATATATTAAAAGGGCCTGATAAGGTCTCTTAAAAATCTGTTTGGTGTAATTTATTCCTTTTTTACTTTTATGATGTTCTCAAACACTTGCCATTTCACTTCATTCTTTTATTGGGCCTGTGTACTTTGGATGCTCATTTTTAGCCTCTTTTTATTCCTTGAAAGGCTGAGCCAGCTCTCCTTAGCATTTCTTCCTGCTGGGTGACTGCACCTCTTTGTAAAGGATACTCTTTTTTCCATCCTTTCTGTGTGAGTGTGAGTGTGTGTGTGTGTGTGTGTGTGTGTGTTGGTCCTTGGGCTTGAACTCAGGGTCTGGGCACTATCCCTGATCTTTTTTTTGGGAGGAGGGAGGTCTGGTCATGGGACCTGAACTCTGGGCCTGGGTGCTGTCCCTCAGCTCTTCAGCTCAAGGCTAACGCTCTACCACTTGAGCCACAGCGCCACTTCCGGCTTTTTTCTTTTTGCTTATGTGGTGCTGAGGAATCGAACCCAGGGCTTCATGCATGCAAGGCAAGCGTTCTACCACTGAGCCACCTTCCCAGCCTCCCTGATCTTCTTTTGCTCAAGGCTAGCACTCTACCACTTCAGCCACAGCTCCAGCTCTGTTTTTTGTTTTTATTTTTATTTATTTTTTTGAGTCATTTATTGGAGATAAAAGTCTTAGGTACTTTCCTGCTCAGGCTGGCTTTGAACCATGGTCCTTAGATCTCAGCCTCCTAAGTAACTAGGATTAGTGTGTGCCACTAGCACTCGGTTCTCAGCTTTTTTTTTTTTTTTTGTCAGTTGTGGGGCTTGAACTCTGGGCTTGGGCGTCCCTGTGCTCTTCAGCTCAAGGCGAATGCTCTACCTCTTGAGCTACAGCGCCACTTCCAGTTTTCCAGTGGTTTATTGGGCTCAAACTAAGATCTTCTTGCATCAGCCACCATAGTGCTGGGACTGCAGGTCTGTACCACTACACTTGACTATTTCTTCCCTTCCCTTCCTTCCTACCTGGGGCTTGGACTCAGGGCTTGGGTGTTGTCCCTAAGCTTTTCTTCCCCCACTCAGAATTATTCACATTCTACACTTGAGCCACAGCTCCACTTTTGGTTTGTTGTTGTTGCAATTTACTGGAAAGTCTCACAGACTTTCTTGCCTAGGCTAGCTTTGAACCATGATCCTCATATTACAGCCGCTTGAGCAGCTAGGATCATAGGCATGAACCACTGGTGCCAGGCTTGCATTTCTTTTTAGTATAACTTAAGATAATTACTTGCCGTCTGGAAGCTTCATTTGCTGTGTGTTGTTTTTGGTCAGTCATAGGCTTGAACTCAGGGCCTGGGTGCTGTTCTTGAGCTCTTATTGCTCAAGGCTAGTACTCTAGCACTTTGAGCCACAGCACCGCTTCCAGTTTTCTGGTGGTTAATTGGAGATAAGAGTTTCACAAACTTTCCTCTTGCTAGCTTCAAACCATGATCCTCAGATCTCAGCCTCCTGAGTAGCTACCAGGAGGTAGCCACCAGCATCCAGCTTTTTGATCCTTTTTGATTTTTTTTTTTTTTTTGTCGGTTGTAGGGCTTGAACTCTGGGCCTGGGCACTGTCCCTCAACTCCTTAGCTCAAGGCAAGAACTTTCACCACTTGAGCTACAGCTCCACTTCTGGTTTTCTGGTGGTTTACTGGAAATAAGAGCCTCACAGACTTTCCTGCCCAGGCTGGCTTTGAAGCAAGATCCTCAGATCTCAGCCTCCAGAGTAGTTAGGATTACAGGTATGACTGGCGCCTGGCTTTTTGAAGCTTTTTATGTATTAAGTACATGTTCCTGCTCTAGTCCTCCACCCTTTTTTATTTGGCTGGAAAATTTTGTCCCTGTTCCCTTAAGCTTAAATGCTAGTTCCTCTAGAAACCCTTCCCTGGAGCTTCCAAGTAGACCTGTATTCTTCTAGACTTCCCATTACATTTTATTCAGACCCTGTGAGGTAGTTTAGGGCCTTGGAAGCTGAGCAGGGGGCCATAAACAATAGGAAGTGTGGGGGCAGATGATGGTGAAGATAATGTGTTTGTGTTAATTCTGCAGGTGGCCTGGCACAATTTCATACCACACTTAGAACAAAATCCAGGGGCTACTATCCATAGCAATGTGCCAGCAGGGAGACTGACCAAGGTGGTAATAATCCTTAAAGTGCAGCATGAATGACTGGTCAGACTAGCAGGGGCATGAGATACCTGACCTGCTTGCTCTGGCCTAGTGGGTAGCAGTGCAGGGTGGGGTAGGCTCCACTAGACAGGCCCCAGCCTGCCAGCCCTGCCATCGCCCCAGCATCCCAGCACGCGAGGCAGCCTGAGGATCAGGTTTCAGCAGGGTGTGTATGAGTGCGTGAGAAAGCTCAGGGGTAGGAGACCTGTCTTTTTTCCCTGATCCCAGAGCCAATTAGTTTAGGGACAGGGCCCAGGGAGAATGCATGCTGAGGGTGGATCTGACTTCAGTGCCTCAGGAGTCCCCACAGACAAAGACAGGATGATAACTAGGGATAGGGGTTAGTCTGA